CGTACCTGCAGATGAAGGGCAACCGGGAGATGGTCTATGACTGTACCAGCTCCTCCTTCGACGGGTGAGTGGGGCGCGGACCGTGTTCTCCGGGGGGGTTCCGGGGTGTCGCTCGGGTGCAGAGCGACCCCTCATTCTTGTCTGTCCCACAGGATCATCGCGATGATGAGCCCTGAGGACAGCTGGGTCTCCAAGTGGCAGCGGATCAGTAAGTGGGTTTCTGGGTGTGGAGATCCCTTCTCTGGGGCAGCGGGCATTGGTGTTGGGGCTGCAGAGGTGGTTTCTGCTCCCGATGAGGGGACATCTGTGCTGGCAGAGGCTCCCAGGATGCTGCCCCGCCTGGGTGCTGCCGTTGTTCTCTTTCCCCAGGTAACTTCAAGCCGGGTGTTTATGCAGTGTCAGTGACTGGCCGCCTGCCTCAAGGTAACGCTGCAGCTCGTGTTATGGGGCAGCTCCTGCGCAGGTGGCAGCTGAGGGGTTGTTCTGCACAGGAGGTGTTGGGGCTGTCACCGTTTCCAAGGTGTCAGACTGGGCAGAGCATTGCGCTGTACCTGTGTGATGAAATCAGGATTTGGGGGTTCAGTGAACACTGTGTATTGTGAGCAAAGCATACACGGTGTGAGTGAAGGGGTGAGCAAGGGGACCACAAAGAGATGCTGAATGGGAGGGTGCTTTCACGGTTATGCAGGTGGATTTTCTCCTGGCAGTCTTGCAGCACTACACCTGCCAGAAGCTGATACTGAAGATGCTGCTGACTATCCCTGTCGTACCAGGGATAAACTGAGGTTAAAGGGTGACTCCAGAAAGTGAGCACATTTCAATCTGTTCAGCTATGGGGAAACATGAAGACTTGTCCATAGACAAGAGTTCTGCAGGATGGGGTGCTCTTATGATAGTCTCAGTGAGCAGATACCCCTTCCCATCATCATCATACTGCACTAAGGGCTTCTGTTAAGGTGGGGTTGTGAATTTGTAAATGGAGTGGAGGGTGTAGAGTCTAGCAGAGAGCCCCCTGCCCAGCAGGTAACCCCAGAGCAGACTCCTCACCTGTGCCACTTCCCAGGAGTGCTGCGATCCTGAATCCCCAGGGTGAAAGCTGTGCTTGTGCCTTGGAATCCCAGGCTCCTTATTTCTGATCTGAGCTCCACCAGGTCACAGGCTGAGGGAGCTGAGCTTGTTCAGCCCGGAGAAGAGAAGGTTCCTTAAGGGGAGACTTTAGAGCAGCTCCAGTGCTTAAAGGGGCTACTGGAGAGGGGCTTTGGACAAGGGCCTGTAGGGACAGGCCAAGGGGGAATGGCTTTAACCTGCCAGAGGGGAGATTGAGATGAGCTCTGAGGCAGAAGCTCTTCCCTGGGAGGGTGCTGAGGCGCTGGCACAGGGTGCCCAGAGAAGCTGTGGCTGCCCCATCCCTGGCAGTGTTCAAGGCCAGGTTGGACACAGGGGCTTGGAGCAACCTGCTCTAGTGGAAGGTGTCCCTGCCCGTGGCAGGGGGTTGGAACTGAATGAGCTTTAAGGTCCCTTCAAACCCAGACCACTCTGGGATATTATCATCTGCATTAGGAAGGAGCTGGAACATCACGAAGGTTGAAGCCAGGGCCTGCTGGCGCAGTGTGGGGCACATCTGAAATGAGTGCAGCAGATGATGGTGTAAGCGGGACGGAGCTGCAGGCAGGGAGCAGAGGGCAGCAGGCAGAAGGGTGCAGGGGATGCTCTATGGCCTCGCACCGTGGGAGGAGCGAGCAAAGCGGGGAGTGGTGCCCAGCGGATGCACTCACAGGCCCTGCAGGCTGTTGTTTGGTTGCCCCTTGGTGCTGGTGGGAGCCACACTGAACTCTGTGGTGCTTTCACTGTCCCTGTTCTTTCGGCACTACTGAGAAGGTGGGACAAGCAGACAGCTCTCAGAAGTGGCTGTAAGATTTAGGAGGTATCCTTATGTGCTTGTCCTGTTCAGTGCGGTAGTAATACTCAAAATGTTTTCATGTTGGAAATAATGTAAACAAAGCCTCTCCCTGGTTCCTTTCCAAGGCAAACCAAGAGTTGGTGTTTGGGAGCTCTATCTAGACATTTAAACTTGAAGAGGGAACACTCTTAACAATCCTGTAAGAAGAAATGAAGATTATTGTCCAGTTCTTGATCTCTGCAATGAAGGCTACATGACAGAGCAACCAGGTTTTTTCAGGGCTGTTCATTCCTAAGGAATACTGAAGTGTGTTGTTTTTTTTTTTTCCTTGCTGCAGGGATCGTCCGAGAGCTGAAGAGCCGTGGCGTGGCTTACAAGTCTCGAGACACAGCTATAAAAACCTAAGTGCTCTTGTGCTGCCTGGAGGATTCCCCAGATGCATTTGGACGTAGGCATGTGTGGCGCTGCTCCAAAACCTTTTAGCTTTAGCATGTGGGAAGGAGAGGCTGGACTTGGAGGGAGCTTCCTGGCTCAGCTCTTCTCACTCAATACGTCTGGCCTCTGCTGTACCACCCTCTGCCCACACAGACTGTAGGTATTTTCTTTGAGCCTTAACAAGAGGGATGGCATGAATGGGTCTGGGGAAGCAGTGTTACATGGTGATGCACAAGATTTTTTACTGGTGGTGTGGAAAAGAGGAGGGCTGGGATGTAGTTGTGTTTATACTTCAATAAAATACACTGCCTGCTCAGAGCAGAGTCTGTATCCTCAGTCACTAGTTTCACCCACTACAGAGAGTGTGAGGGGTTTCACACTCGCCCCTCTACATCTGTCAGACTGTCTGGAGCACAAAACTGCCATCCCTTACCGAAGAATCATGTTCCTGCCTGGGGAGGGAGATCCAGCCCTGGCTGAACTGGAGTGTCCTTCACTGTAGGAATGAGCAGACTAGTGATTTGTGTCTTACAGCTTGCTGCTGGATGGAGTAAGTAGATAATGCTGAGTATTTCATGTGCAGGTCATCCGGAGGTCTCAGTGCCCTGGGCCTGCATGTTCCACTGCTGAGGATGTGGAAGCAGGCTGATCACAAAATACTCTGCCCTTAGACAAGGCATCTAGATCAGTAGCTCGCTGAAATAAGCTTTTTTCCCCTGAGATAATCCTGTAACTGGAAAGCTCAATTTTGGTTTTCTGTAGACAAATAGTGGAAAATCAACATAGCCTGAAAACTGCATCTGATCTGGGAGGAAAGCGGCTGCAGCAAAGGAAATGCATTGCTGTTGTGAAGTGACGGTGTCAGGAGCACTGAGGTGATATGTTCTCCATCCTGCTGTGGTTTGTAGAGCTGGCCCAGAAAAGAGCCCCAAGCACTTGAACACAGCTTCCTGCAGGGGTTTGGAGCAGATGTGTGGCTGGAGAAGACTGCTGTGACCACAGGGAGGCTGTGCGGGGCCACAGTGATAGTTGAGACAAAACACTGCAGAGAAAGATGCCTTAAACCACATTTCTCCTGGGGACTTGCAGATGTGATGCTGAAGAGTATTTGCTGGGTGCAGAGCAGGACCAAGTCAAGTTGGTGGTGGGCTCTGGGCTCCAGCAGACACCTCAAGGAGCAGATTGCCTTTTGTGGAAGAGCTGAGGGTGCTTCAGCCCCTGTCCTGGGGGTTACAGCCCCCTCTGGGGAAGACAGAGCAGCAGGCTCACATCCTTTGGGCAGAGGAGGGAGTTGATTTTCACACACCCCTGGTGAACATCCAAAGCACTTGAGTTACCTGATGCTTACCCTCTAGGCTTGCTTGGTTGCAGAAACTGGGCAGGAGATGACCGTGGTAGGTCAGGTCTCTGCGAGAAAGGTGTGACTGACTCCACAGGATGCTCAGCTTTAGACATTTTGGGCATAGACATCTGGGCCCTGGAGGGTGGTTTTGGACTGGCTGTGCTGCAAGAAGCATGGGGTAAACTGGGATTCCCCAGTCTGTGCTCATCTCCAGCAGAAGTGTCCAGAAAAGCTGCAGCCAGTACTGTCTGGTTGTCTGTGTGAGGCTGACGAGAGCTGACAAGGTTCAGAATGAAAAGGATCAAGGAGGATGAGATGGGCAGCATTTTATCCAGCTGGAGGGAGACAGGTCTTGTGAATAAGGCTTTGGCTACAGCCGAGTTGGAAGGATGTTGGGGGTGGATCCCCCTTCCCTGGCAGTGTTCAAGGCCAGGTTGGACACAGGGGCTTGGAGCAACCTGCTCTAGTGGAAGGTGTCCCTGCCCGTGGCAGGGGGTTGGAACTGGATGAGCTTTAAGGTCCCTTTCAGCCCAAACCATTTCATTACTATTATTCTATGACGGAGAGCAACCACCCTGGCCATGGCCAGCCTCGAAGCCTCACCCTTCCAGTGCCACAGGGTGGCAGTACGGCTTTGTGGAGTGAAGCTTGATGGGGTGAAGCTGCTGGAGATGGACTCGAGCAAGACAGACCTGAGGTTCATGTGCATTTTCTGCTGTATTGCACAGTGCATGCACTCCCTTTAGTTTCCCGGGCTGTGTCCCCATTCCTTGGCTCCAGGGATGGGAGCTGCTCCACGCTGGAGCTGCTCCAGAGCTGGAGGCACGTTGCGACTCTTGCCATAGTCCCAGGCCAGCTGGTTCCCTGGCCCAATGGTGCAGAGGAGGTGATAAAAGGGTTCTGTGCAGGACCTGGGCAGGGTGGGCTTGCTTGGCTTGGCTGGGTGTGGGTCTCAGGCACGGTGGTTCACACCTCCCTTCCTGGGGAGCTGCAGTCTTGCAGTAATGCGGTCACTGCCCGGCGCTGGGAACCTTGCTTACTTGTCCCCAGGGAGCAGTGTTCGTTGTCACCGTGCCTCTCAGGGAAGGTGAAGGGGCTTGAAAACCCTACGAGACCTCACCCCTTGGTTGGAAGAACAACTACTCCAGGTTATATAGAGTTAAGACTGGTGTGCTGCAGTGCAGGTGCAATAGTGGCAGAACAGCAAGGCAAATGGGCTGAATGCTGGTGGGCTTTCAGAGAGCTGCACCTCCTCTGCCTGCAGCAGCTTGCAGTGCTTCCAACCACTGGATGCCTGTGATGGGGTGACTCGGTGAGCCTCTTCCCTGCAAGCTTGCTCACTCACCCACACATGCACCACATTACCCAGCCCACGCCACCTAAATGATTCATTGCTTCCAGGCTGCCAGAGCTGAGCATTGGACCTCTGCAAAGCGCCCTGAAATGAGCATTTCAGTTAGACTTGAGCCCTGGAGCTGCCAGTGGTTTGTAGCAGCAAAAAGTGAATGCATCTGGAGCTTTATTTGCTGAGAAAAGTAGGGCAGGGAGCTCTCACGTTGAAGAAATAGAAAAGATGTGCAGTGGCAGCCTAGGCTTTGATCAGGAGAGAAAGCGTGAACGGGGCAGGGAGCTGTGGATCTGAGTCAGTTGAAGACGGCTCCTCCCCCTGCACCAAAATGACGTTAAAGTATTTCAGCCAGGCCTGAAACCCTGCAGGGTTGGCACCGCGGCAGCCTGGGCAGGGGGAGGCCGGGGCAGCCCCGGGCAGCGCAGGCAGGAAGCATGAGCCAGTGGGTTTCTTGGTGCGGGTTTTGAGAACCGATACCCCGGCTCTGCCTCCGGGTGAGAAAAGTGACTTTCCCAAACCGCAGCGCACTCGGTGCTTCCACGCGGAGCAGCTGCTGCTGCTGCTGCTGGGAAATGCCCGTCTGAGCCGTCCCCCCCCGCGCGGGGCGCCCCCGAGGCTCTGTCCCTGCACACTGCTCCCACCTCTCGCCATGAGCCTTTGTCTTGTAGCTTGGGCAAGCTGGGCTGCAGCACGTGGCAGTGCCTTGGGACGGTGGCTGAGGTGCGGTGACACCCCCACTTGTGCTCCCATGGATGCTCTGTGCATGCCGTGGCAGAGGTGCTGCCCGGGGGTGGCTGCAGCAGCATGAGGGCTGTTTCACCTTAAATCCGCTCTCAGGGGCTGCCTCGCTGCCTTCCAGTGCACAGCCTCAGGCCTTCCCTGTGTGCTGGGGAGCTGGTGACCGCAGGGGTGCAGAGACCCTTGGGGGGATAAACCCAACCAAAACAAACCCCAGCTTTAAAGTGGGAAGCTGGCCGAGGAGACCTTGGCAGCGTTGAGGTGCAGGGAAAGATGACCTGGTCCCTGTGCTGCCAGCTCAGGGCTGGGGGGAAGTACTGCTGGAGTGAGGGTGGCAAGGCCACAGTGCACACCGTTAATGGTGGCCCACGCTGCCCATCACCTCTGCATCAGCGCCTGTGGGCAGAAGCCATCAAGGCATCTGATTGTGTATGATGTGGTGGGGAGAGGAGGGGGCCCACAGCCAGCTTTTGGTAGCAGCCATTTGGATGGGCTGCAGAGGGGATGGGTGTGGGTTTCAATGGTGCAGGTAGCTATGAAGGCTTTCAAAATGCGGCAGAAGTGAGGCATGTCTACCTCATGCACCGTCCCAAGGGGTTTCTGGTGCACTAGTGATGGTGGGCAAAGAATGGACATGTTCCCTACTGAGGTGATCTGCAGGGAAAACAGGGAGCGCTGATGTATGGTGGGTCCTCGGGTGTTTGCCTGTCAGGAATTACAAAGGAAGGAGGAGGCTCTGCTTTGTGAGGGAGAGACAGGCTGGTGGGCCATCGGTTCCTGAAGTAGGCCTGCAAAGAGCATGTGAAGATGGTACTGTCACCCGTTGCAAGTTCAGTGCTGCCTGCAAAGGGGCCCTAAGCTGCTTCATGGTGGATACCTCTAAACCCACTGGTATGCTAGCATCGTTGGGGTCTTGGTGTCTGGGGGGACAAAAGCAGCTGTTGGAGGGTCCCAAACCTCCTCTGGGCTGAGATCTCTTACCTTCCTGGTCTGCTCCTGCAGTTCTGCTTCATTGGAAAGGGAGATGCCGGGGGCTGGTGGGACAGAGTAAGGTCTCATGCTGATGGTGGACGTTGCTGGGGGTTCGTGGTTCCTTGCGGCAAATGACAAAGTGAGACCACAGATGAAGTCACAGGAGGGATTTGAGAACCTGGAGGTATCTGCCCCGTTCCCAGCTCTACTGGGACCTTCTGCTGCATCCCAAATGACACTTGTCCTTTCTCTTTTTGGCCAGATGTGCATCACCCAGGCTCTGCCCAAAGTAGGCGCTGGGCTGGAAGGGGCTTTCTCCCCTGGAGACAATGATCCTCCTGTGTGGACAGTGGCAGAAGAGCTGCTGAGAGCCCAAACTGAGCCCTGGGACACATGCTGGGTGAGGACATTGCACCTCCTCTGGGGGTCCCCAAACAGCTGAGGTGCATGGTATGGGGCGGGGGGTGTGCTGGTGGCCACAGGATCCAGCCCCTAGGCAAGGCTGGGGCTTTGATACTGCTCTCCCAGCATCACCTGGCCTGGCTGGTCTGGAAAGAGATGATCAATGCC